CGGGGCGACGGGACCGGGTACGCGGAGCAAAGGCAGAGGTGGAGAGCGCAAGGGTGAGGGGGAGCAGAGCCATCTGGGAAAGGAGAAGCAGGAGAGGTGCACTCAAGCCGCGAAGGAAAGCGAGGAAAAGCCCCAGCAGATCGTGTGGCGGTCCCACGTCCGGCAGGGACAAGTTCCAGCTGGTTCAGAAGACGCCAGCAATGCTCCCTCGATGCTCCCTGGGGAACAGGGTCTACTCAGTGGACTTGGTTTCCAACAGCGATCCCCGGGGTGGATTTACGGGCTCGGGGCTCAACACATGAGGCCATACCGGGCTCCAAGCACTCAGCGTTCCCTAAGGGAGGTGCCCCTTCTCTCGGAGACAGACTGTTCCTCACCTTGTCCTTCAGAAATACACACAATCCCACCCAGATTCATCCCGTGTAACTTCAGGTGTTCCACTGAAGCTACCAAGACCCGAGCTGAGGACGTCCCAGGCATCTCCCGAGGGTCAGGCAGATGTGAAAGGGGAGGAACCGCTGCCTCGTGCTGGTTTTCTCCCACGTCTCCACAAGGAGCCCGGAGCAACACCACTTCAGGGCACCAGCTACCGCCTACAGAGATACGGGGTGAACCACGGCTCTTCCCTTCACGCGCTGTAGCTGTCTCCACCGAGCAGGAATTTTTACTGAGCTCCTAACAGAGATGTTCAAGACCTTACCTGTCCAGACCCTGCCCGGTTCAGTTTTATCTGTCCCACATTCTGCGTGTCCTGTACCCACGTCTCGCCCGTCCCCTTAGCGTCGCTCCAAGTTTCTCAAAGGTAAACGGAGCTTTCGCTCATTTAGAGAACTCAAAATACCACTTTGTCACCCGCGAGACTTATCATAGACTCATAGAATGGTTTAGGTTGGAAAGGACCTTGAAGATCATCGAGTTCCAACCCCCCTTATCTTATTCTTTCTTTTTTTTTCTGGTGAAAGGAGATGCGATGCCGGTCTCCCGGAGGAAATGTGGACACCAGCCTCTGGAGCTAACCTTCACCCCAGCCAAAATCCTGCCCCTGTCCCTCATGTTCCTTCACTGCCTCGCCAACGCTTTCCACGCACGGCTTTATCTTGCATCCCACGTGCAATTACTCTTTTTTTTTTTTTTTTTTTCTTTTTTCTTTTTTAATAGCTTCCTGCGAAACGCGCCGATGTGGAGTTCTTAAAAGAACAAATTAATCGTGCCTTCCGCCGCTCCTTCTGCAGGGATTGGTCCCAAGGGTGCTGGCGGACAGGTAGGACCTCTTTGTCTGTTAAGGGAAGTGCTTTGCCGCAGCCTCGCAGATCCCATTAACAGATCCCATTAACTGATCCGTACCTAACGAGGAACTGGGACACCTTTCCCCGTGTCAGTACCTTTCCAAACAATCCCAGCGGCGACGGCTCACAAAAAGAAATAATTTAGGGTGTTTTTTTTTTTTTCCTGTCCTCCTTTTGCACAGTAAACTGTCCTGTACTTGCGAGTGACCCTCCACAATAAAGGTAATCACTCGTAAAGAGAGGGTGGGAACAGCTTTTTGGCTAATTCTTCAAAGTCTTCATCCTTTTTACACACTCCCCCCGCTCCTTTCACACCGTCTGCTCCTGCTCTACCTGTAGCGTGCGATTCCTTTATTTAGCCTTTGATTAATTGGGCCTTCAAGCTCCTAATCCTAATTTCCCCTTCCTGACGGGGTCCAGGCTCCTTCCTCCTGGAGTCCCACTTGCTGGAGTACATCCTTTTCTTTTCGCTTTCCATTTTTGCTTAAGATTCTCGGTCTTCTGCGGCGCAGATGGCAGAAAGAAGGGGAATTGAGAGAAGGGATGCGGCAATTAAATAACAGTATAATGAAAGAGTAACATACCGTGGGCATAGAGCGACCGGGACCCCGGGACCCCCGTGCCGAAAGAGGGCCAGGAGACAGGCAGTGGGCACAGCGAAAGAGCTACGGGACAGCGAAGGGAGGCGGGAAGGAAAGGCAGGGTGGGGGAGAAGATGAGGAGGACATGGGGGAATGAAAGAGGATACGGAAGATAACGGAAACGAGAAGACGGGAATGGGAAAATTAAAGAGAAAGCGGAAAGGAAACGGGTTGGATGAGAGATGTAACCGGGACAGGAGGGAGAGAAACAGGACAGGGAGAGGAGAGAGAGAGAAAAAGAGACTCATTATCGGGTAACGCCAACTCCCAAAGGAGCGAAGCGTGCCAAAACCGAGCGCCCGGCACAGGCCGCCCGTGCCCACGCTTGCCGGGCTGGGGCCGGTCCCTCAATGTCCTCTCCACGCTAAGGACACGGTTGGCAGAGGAAGACTCTTGCCTAGCACGGCCTGGCCCTGCCCCACTGCCACCAGCGGGACGACAGCCGAAGAGGCGCCCGCAGAACCTTCAGACCGGCCGCGAGTGGACACCTGAGCGGCCAAACAGCACCGTCTTGTCTTTTTCTTCTCTGCTCCTCACTTCTCGCTCCAGATGATTTAAGTGACGTCACGCTCGGACGTACGGATGCGTTTGGTTGGCTTTTGCAGCTTGACTCACTGGAACCGTGCTCAGCAACCCCACAACGGCTGGTTTTTACGCTTCAGACTCCCCCGGTCACCTCACCCCTCCCCACGCAGCCCACAAGTACCTACCCATCGATATCCACGAGGTCCTCTTCGCTGCGCAAGCTCAGCACGTAGAGCGTGGACATGGACACCACACTGGGAAGAAAAAGAGAGGTACAGGCTGAGGACGGGCACGGGGTGAGGTTCTGATCTGCTCCCGAGGGGTTTCAGCCCACGAAAGAAGCCGGAGGTCCACGGCGCCCCTCGCTCCACACCCCACGGATGGCGTGGGCCAAACCCATGAGCCGGAGAAGCGGCAGCCGCCGGGTGCGCGGTCTCACCTGAAGGCCATGATGATGACCAGGGCAATGATGGTGCCCTGCAGGAAGCGCTGGCTGATGCAGGCCTGTTCTGGGACGACTGACGGTGACTGTAAGAGAAAAAAAAAAAAACAAACCCCAAGATCAGCTCCTTCCCGCTCTGGTCCTCACGCAAATCCCACCCCAAGCTCTCTTCCTCCTCCCCCACAAGCCCTGAACCCCCGTAGAGCAGAAGCCATGAAACACCTTCATTAGTACAGACGAAAAAGAAGGAGAGATCATGGAAATGGGAGCAGAGAAGGCCTCTCCTTCCGCAGCATGTGGAAGGAACACAGGAGAACCATGTAGATGCCCGTGCTTAGACAGGCCACCTGTCCCCGCGGAGCTCCGCGCTCCTTCGGGAGCGGTCCTTTACCTTGTTGGCTACTTTGTGGGGTCTCTTTTTGTGGGGCACGCTTCCCGCACGGCTGAACTGGCTTCCCGTTTGGCTGCAAGGAGAAAAGAGGGACGGCGATCAAAGGGATTCCCGGGGAAAATGCGGTTCTCTGGTAGGGGAGACATCTCTGCCCGGCATGAGAGTCCCAAACCCTGATCACTTCATCTGCTCAAGGGTAGGCGCAGCGCTGGTCCGTCGCCCGAAGAGCCTGAATTCTGCCCCCAAAACCTGCACAAGCTGAGCAGGGTCAGTACGATGAGGTTGGAAGCAGGAGAAACTCTTTGCCCTGAGAAAGCTGCTCGCTTACGCTAAGGAAACGTGGAGACAATTTCACACCAGGGTTTTGGGGGCTGGTCTAAGTGGTATGCGTATGCCAGATCTGTCTCACCAATTTCGGCTCCTTGAACCTACCCCAGACCAACTGCCAACACCCCACCACTCCTCCCCCATCTCCCCTTTCCCAAACCCAGCTGTCACCCAAGGCTGTCTGGTCCCAAAAGGAGACATCCCTTCTGGCTCCCGTGCCCTCAGCACGCCCCGTACCTGAACGTCCCGGAGCTCACGGTTGACTTCATGCTGTCCAGCCGCTTGAGCTTGGCCAGCTTGTGACTCCACCTCTCCAGCTCATCGATGCGGGTCTCCAGGTTGTCCGTCAGTTTGCACAGCTCCTTCACGGCTCCCACGTTCTCCATGAAGATGCGCTCCTACCAGGGAACAGGTTGGGAATCTGAGCGGCCTGGCACGGGGAGGCACTCCTGCTCCCATGGATCTGGCCGCCCTGATTGCTCTCCCATGGCCTGTCCCAGGGGAGAGGGTACACAACGCCCAGCTCTGGGGGCAGGGGATCATCCAACATGGCACTTCAAAGATCTCTACAGCCCCTGGATGCAAGTACGAGAGAGAGGTTTGACAGGTTGCCCACAGAAGTTGTGGAAACTCCATCCCTGGAGGTGTTCAAGGCCAGGTTGGACGGGGCTTGGAGCGACCTGGGCTGGTGGGAGGTGTCCCTGCCCAGGGCAGCGGGTGGGACTGGTTGGTCTTCAAGGTCCCTTCCAACCCAAACCATTCCATGATTCTATGATATCCTCTTCAAGCCCAACCAAAACAATAAATGTTGGTGCAGGATCCCTGAGGTCATCCAGACCAACGGAGAGCTCAAATCCAGAAGCCTCTGGAGAGCAACCTTCCCCCTGCAGCCCCTCTGGTAAAGGCAGAACGTTCCAGCACAAGCATCTCCCTTCGGCACAACTGTAGCATCCCACCTACTGTGGTTTCACCCCTGCCCCTCATCCACCCTCGGGCTCTGCCACTCCGCTGCCCCATACGGAGCTCCCCGAGGCAAAACATCTCATCGGCGTGCTGGTCTACTGTGTTCAGAGGCTCTTGGACACCACGGAGAATATGTAGGAGCGAGTAGATGCCTCTTTGGAGAGCTCAGCAAGAGCAGCCCACGCAGTTTGCCGCGCTGGGCCCTTCCACAGCGAGCACCACCTCCTGATGCTGAGCTGCGGCCCGTGGGAGATAGGACGAGAGGAAATGGGTTCAAGTTATGCCAGGCGAGGTTTAGATTGGATATTAGGAAAATTTTTTTCACTAAAAGGGTTATCAAACATTGGAACAGGCTGCCCAGGGAGGTGGTGGATTCCCCATCCCTGGAGGTGTTTAAAAAAAAGGGTGGACACGGTACTCGGGGACATGGTTTTGTCAGGTTAGGTTAATGGTTGGACTTGATGATCTTAAAGGTCCCTTCCAACCTCAACAGTTCTATGATTCTGTGAAGAGGGCTGTGGGCAGAAACAAAGGCCAGCAACGGCCTGGCCACCTGCAGATGGGACAGAAAAGGTCACGCTCGCAGCTACCGCTCGCTGGTGATGTAACTGGAGGGATCTCGGCTTCCACGAAGGAGAAACGTGGCACTAGGGTCAGTCCTGACCATTCCTACTCTGGACAGAGTGATGCAGAGAGAGAGACGGCAGCTTTGGGAGGGCTGTCCCCTTGATGTGTGCTATGGAAGGTTGTCCCCTCGAAGCCCAGAGCAGCGAAGAGGCGGCCACAGGTTACGGAGAGGTCAGGCAGCCAGGTGCTCTGGGTTACCTTGACATAACCACCTTATCTTATCTAGAAAGGAGAGATTATGACTAAGGGCCTCCCTGCAGGAGGCTGCCAACAAGGGGCCCTTCTTGAGGGACACGCTGCCAACTTTCACCAACACCTGACTAACTCCTCCCTGCAGATGTCCAACCGTCCACCCTGGGCTCCTTCTGACACCTGAAAGACCAGCTAGGTCTGGAACTCTATATGGGTGGTGGTGGCCTAGAAGTATTTCCCAGGCATCGCAGTTTCCCCTCTTCCATTTCCAGCTCCACAACTCCCTTGAGCCATGTCTCAACGGCCTCCCTGCCCCTCCTGCCTCCAACCACCAACCTTGTTCACCACCAGGAAGTTCTCAAGAGTTTTCCCATTGGAAAAGACCAGGTCTCCGGTGTCCTTCACAGCCTCGGGGAGGATCTCCTTTACCTCCTGAGCAATGACACCTGCGTGGAAACAGCACAGTGGGTCAAGGTGGTTTGGGCAGGGCTCCTCCTGCCACAGCTCTTCCTCCGGTCCACGCGGTTGTTGGCAGGAGTCTGTGCATCACCCCGCTGTAGCGTGTAGCTGTACCCCTGGAGAGCGGCGAGTACTTGGAGAAGCCTTATCGCAGAAGCCCTCTAAGTCACCTGTGGGAAGCGCCATCTTCTCTCCCGCTCATGGAAGAGGGAATTTCATTAGATGCTTAAACTTCAGGTGGTGAGAAGCCCCCTCTCTCCTACCCCACGCCCCAGGGCAGAGCCGGGTACAGCCGCCAGGAAAGGAAGGGCAGTGCCGCTCGGCACCACGAACAAAACACCGCCGGAGGTGGCAGAAAGTAAGGTCCAGCGCTGCAGACGTGAGCAGGTCAACCGGGGCCCATACCTGTCTCGGAGGCGTTGTCAATGCCCACCGTGGCCGCAAACTCGGGCTTGTAGTTGTAGTGCACCAGCCGCATCCGGGAGATCCTCTTCAGCTGCTCTGTGGTGTCCACCTGGGACAAACCAGACACATGCAACTCCTAAGTGGGGTGTTGCTCCTTAACTGAATCCCAGACTGGTGGGGGTTGGAGGGACCCTCTGGAGCTCCCCCATCCCACCCCCTGCCAGAGCAGGGACACTTCCAGCAGTGGCACAGGACGGCGTCCAGGCGGGTTTGGGATGGCTCCAGAGGGGGAGACTCCCCCACCTCTCTGGGCAGCCTGTGCCACTGCTCTGCCGCCCTCACAGCAGAGAAGGCCCTCCTCATGTGAAGATGGAACTCCCTATGATCACCTTTGTGCCCGTTCCCTCTTGTCCTGTCACTGGGCACCACTGGAACAGACTGTTACTCTCCCCCGGCACCTCCCTTGAAGGATTTATCAGCATTGATAAGATCCCCCTCAGTCTTCTCTCCTCCAGACTGAACAGCCCCACGTCCCTCAGCCTTTCCTCAGCAGAGAGATGCTCCAGTCCCCTCCTCATCTCCGTAGCCCTTTGCTGGACCCTCCCCAGCAGTTCCCTGTCCTTCTTGAACTGGAACTTCTTAAGTTCCCATAACTCCAACTCCAAGCAGCAAAACCCACTATGGCTCACGGTAATATCTTTGCGAGACAGAACTTCACCAGACAGCCCCGACCCCTGCTCAGACCAGCCGTGAGGACAAACAGCATTTGCACTGGGGTTGATCTCCAGTTCTGGTCACTGGACACGTTCCTCGGGTAGTGAAGCCAGGAGGAGACCGATTCCCATCGCACAACCAGGCGCGGGGCAGTCCTCACAGATACGAGACGTGACGGTACCCAGCTTTTCTGGACAAGCACATCCAGCTGAGAGGACTTCAGAGCAGAGCTGGGCCTCCCACCCAGGTTCTGGCAAGTCCCAGTGGGCTGTGTGACATACTCACCCGTTTCCAGGTTCGTAACTCTGCGTTCCCTAGTTCTGGCTAACAGTGGAGGAGTCGCTATTCCCTAAGACACGGTGGACAGGCTGTGTTTGGGACAGACCGGGACAAGGCGCTTCCCATCTGGTCAACAGGAGCTCAGGTTGTCCGTAAGGACCGTGTCAAAATCGGCAGCTAAAACAGGCTCACAAGGACGCTCACACCTTCTGCGACGCCTCTTCAGACCCCTGATCACCCCAAAGCTAGCCCGGTTTGCCCGGCTCTTACCTCCTGGATGTCCTCCTTCACTCGGACGTCTGAAGGGTGCATCAGCGAACCCATGACCTTCACATTGCCGTGGACCACGAGGGCTTCATCGGGGCGGTCGGTGTTGATGCCAACCCGGCCGTGGTGAAAAACGGTATCGGGGAGCTGCGCCCGCTGCCAGAGCACGTCGCTGTCGCTCTCGAACTGGCCAGGGTTGGAAGCCTGCGGAGAGACAGGAAAGCGGGGACTGAGAAGCCGCAGGAGCAAAACCAAGGTGAGGAACGCTGCGGTGCTGCTGGGCAGAGGCGCTCCGAGATGGAGAGAGAGTGTGGATGTCAGGAGAGCCCCCCCAGACCCATCCCCTCCACGCACGGTGCAGAGGGACTGTAGAGCAGGAGAGGCCACGGGCAACAGATGGACATCAGAGAGCCCCAAGCTGCTGCGGTGGCCTGGACGGTGCCGTCCCCAGTAGCGTTGGGTGGGAAACACCTGCGAAACAAAGCTTGGCAGAAGCAGGAGCACCCTGATGGCGCGGCAGTGTCATCGTTGCCCAGAAGAGAAACGAGGACGGGGAAGATCTCGGCTGAAACTGGGGCATGTTCATCCAGGAACCCTGAGAAGCAGGAGGGGGATTTTGGGATGAACGCTCCCGGGTCATGAGATCCCGGCACGGGTGTCCTCTTCGGCCCGCTGGACTACAGCCCCAGGAAGGCCTCGAAGCTGAGCTGTGGTGGCTCCAGCCTCCCGGGAGGGACAGCAGGGAGCCGGACAGACAGGCAGGGCAGAGCCAGCAGAAGACAAGAAAGGCCGGGGAGGCGGGAGACGGAGCTTCGCGGCGGCACAAGGCGAAGCGGCAGGGGCAGGGAGCCACCGCCAGCCCTGGGGACAGATCCCGGCCTGCCCTGACCGCAGAGGCGGCCTCGGCGTTCATCTGCTGGCCATGTCTAAGCATCTCTCTGCAGGAACCTCTCTGCCCGCTCTGTTCTTCTCCCTACAGGAATATCCTCGCTTTCTTGAGCTGCCCGTTATCTCAGCTATCAGAGCTGTTCCAAAAACCCCAACCAGAACCACAGAGGACAGCAAGAAGAGACCATAAGTGACATGGCTGTTGCTCCTGCATCCCAAATCCCGGGGTTCTGCTCTGCTGCCATGGTTCCGTCACCCACACGCAAGTTGAGACGGGGCAGAGCAGGCTGCCCGCAATTCCCTGCAGTTCTGGGCTGGGCACCTTGGAGACTACCTAATTCATCGTGGACTTACTTGCCTGCAGACTCTGAGGTCCCTCTGTTCGTGTTTAACCCTCTGCCTTCATGTCTCGGAGCCGAAGGCTCCAACAGAGCTCCAGAAGAGTCTGGGGATGGTGCCCATCTCTTCCTGCTCCTCTGCATTTGAGCACCACCGCCTTCGCACAGGCAAAAGGCGCTGCCCTGGGAAGGTCCCCACTCTTCCCACACCTGGAGGTCTTGTCCCCGCTGCAGAGTCACAGAATCATACGATAATAGAATGGTTTAGGTTGGAAGGGACCTTAAAGATCATCCAGTTCCACCCCCCTGCCCTGGGCAGGGCCACCTCCCACCAGCCCAGGTTGCTCCAAGCCCCGTCCAACCTGGCCTTGAACACCTCCAGGGATGGGGCAGCCACAGCTTCTTGGGGCAACCACAGCCAGGGGCTCACCACCCTCACAGGGCAAAATTTCTTCCCGATATCTCATCTCAATCTCCGCTCTTTCAGTGTCAAACCATTCCCCCTCGTCCCACGGCTCCCCTCCCTGATCCAGAGTCCCCCCCCAGCTCTCCTGGAGCCCCTTTAGGCACTGGAACGGGCTCTGAGGTCTCCCCTTTTTCGCCTTCTCTTCTCCAGGCTGAACCCCCCCAACTCTCCCAGCCTGTCCTCCCAGCAGAGGGGCTCCAGCCCTCCCAGCATCTCCGTGCCCTCCTCTGGCCCCGCTCCAACAGGTCCACATCCTTCTTATGTTGGTGGCCCCAGGGCTGGAGGCAGCTCTGCAGGGGGGTCTCCCCAGAGCGCAGCAGAGGGGCAGAATGAAACACAAATAACTTGTCCCAATAACGCTGTTCCCTCACTCCCAACAGCTCTACCCTGGACACTGGTCCAGCCTTGGGAGAACGGGACACCTTCCCTACCCCGCACCAGGTTCTTGCACGCCCTGAGGCTGCTCTGATTAAGCAGGTGTGGACAGGCTGGAGGCAGAACCCAGTAAAGAGTCTGGAGAAGGTGGGAAAGGGCTGAGTGGGGAAAGCACCGAAAAGCCAGAGGAAGGCAGGAGGATTGCCCAGGAGATCCAACAAAGGACTACGGGGGACCTGCAGGGGGCTGAGGGAGGAGAGAGGGACTTACTCGGACGATGATGCGCTCGGAGATGTGGGCTGCCAGCGTGTAGTTCTGGTTCTGCGCGTGTGCCTGCAAGGCCACCACGAGCATGAAATACCTGTGGAGAGCGGAGAGAGGTCAGGGTGCCATCCCCCACGGGGAACTGCCCAGTCCGACGAGGCACCAAGCTGTCACGGTGGGCTTGGCACATCCCCTCTCCCTGTGCTGTGGGGGACCCCAACCCCTCAGAGTTGGGGAGAACCTTCTTGTGGCCACAGCAGACACCTCCTTTCCTTCACACAGACAAGAACAGCCAGTTCAGGACCTGTTCCCCATGTCCCCCTCCCTCCAACCCCATTCCCCAACCCGGGGACTGGCGCATCCGCAGGCCTTGAGGGCTCAGAAGGACTTGGAGAAGGCACCTGCGCTCCTCACCTCTGGTCTGGGTTGGGTTTGCCTTTCTTCCGCATGTTGTTGGCTGTGGTCTCGCTGAAGTGCAGCCGCCCCACGGTGACCTTGGTGACCTGCTCCGGAGGCAGGTTGACCCTGGGGAAGGGAAAAGAGAGGAGCGAGTGAGGACACCGCCGGAGAAGAGGTTCTTTGGGGAACGGCCATCTCCTGGTGTGCTCCACCAAAGCGGGTCTATGAACTGCGCACAGTGGGCAAAGTGAAGAGAGAACTTTGCTGTGGGAAACTGGAGAAAACTGGAAAGTGTGACACCCACAGTACGATCCCGAGACCTCCATCTCAGCCCCTTTCCCTGTCTTCTCCTGCTATTGTTTATTCCCCAGTAGCACTTCCCACTAGAGCACAAGTCTTTGAGGAGCAGCTGAGGGACCTGGTGGCGTTCAGCCTGGAGAAAAGGAGGCTGAGGGGAGACCTTCTCGCTCTTTACCTGAAAGGAGGTCGTAGAGAGGGGCAGGTCGGTCTCTTCTCCCAAGTACCAAGTCCCAAGTACCAAGTAAGTACCAAGGACAAGAGGAAAAGGCCTCAAGTTGCTCCAGAGGAGGTTTAGATTGGGTATTAGGGAAAACTCCTTGACCAAAAGGGTTGTCCAGCACTGGCATAGGCTGCCCAGGGAAGCGGTGGAAGCACCATCCCTGGAGGTATTTAAAAGATGTGTAGACGTGGTGCTGAGGGATGTGGTTTAGTGGTAACTTGGCAGTGTTGGGTTGACGGTTGGACTTGATGGTCTGAAAGGTCCCTTCCGACCAAAAAGATTCTGTGATTCTGTTCTATGACCCTCTTCTACACCCCGGGCCATACTCACGTGACAGGGTTGAAGGGCCGTTTGCTGCGGTCGGACTGCGACTGCTCTATATTGATCGACTGGTTCAAGGCTTCCAGCTGGAGAGAAGAGATTTGGGGGTGTGACAAAGAGCGGGAAGCTGAGACCTTCCCCTTCCCACCTCCTTCTCCCCAGCACGTGCCAGCTCTCTGCCCAGCCCTCCACTCTGCACAACTGACTTAACGACACCCAACCTGAGTGCGGTCATTGTCCAAGCATGGGTGTCTCCATTGGAAGGGGGGCAGCTGACGCTGAAAAGATCTCCCCAAAGTCCCTATATACCTCTGGAGCCAAAAGCGAGGGAGAGGCAGCCCTGAAGACACCCAGGCAGTCCATCTTAGGACTAATATTTCAAGATCTGCCTTGTTCTGGCCTTCAGCACTCTCCCTACAATGTAGCACATGAAGACGTGGTGTTGCCTGATCCCCAACCGTCTGCCCGGCACCCCTTCTCCCTGCTGGATTCGCTGCTGGCCCTTAGCTCCCGCTTGCCTTCACTCCGTGCAGCTTCAGGTAGAAGCACTCTAAGGGTTTCAGGCCCTCGGGGGTCTTCACATACTTGGGATCTCCAAGCATGCCGATGTAGACCGTGACCTGGAAGTGATTCTTCTTCTGGCACACAAAGGCGTCGTCACCCACCGAGAAGTTGAACCCCTTGTCGGCGTCGACGCGGTAGGTGAGCATCGGGCTGTGGAAAAGGCGGCAGGCGTTAGACCGGAGCCCTGTGCGCACCCCGAGGGGCTGACGCTGGCGGGGGGAAGGATGAGCGTGATGGTTTGAGGAACCCACAACGATTTATTGTCATTCAGACAATTATTCTCTCACCCGATGTACCCCTCCCCACACCCCCAGGGAAATCGGGGAAAACCAAGGAAAGCCGAGGGCTGAAATATAAGCAGATTTAATAGAATAAGATGAAATAATTAACATTAATAACACTAAAGAACCAATATTATCCCAATACCAATATAAATACACAAGGATTATACTCAGCCCTTTCTACCCGTAGAAGCTGTGCACTCCCCGCAGGGGACAGCCCATGTGGGACACTGCCAGCGCTGCGGCTTCGGGAGGAAGGGAAGGGCTCAGGGCTGCGGCACCGGGGCGAGGAGTTCTCAGGGTGGCAGCCATCACGGGAGAGAGAGAACTCCTCAGCAAACTGTTTAATTTATATTGAATGTGACCTTTGCGGTATGAAATAACCCTGCTGGCCAGCTTGGGTCAAGTGTCCGGGTCTCTCCTCCTCATCCCCACACCTGGTGAGCTCAAAAACACCGAAACCTTGAAACCCGCACACCACAGCTGGCTCTACAGCGAATATTTTCACCAATTCAGGCACTCGAGTCTTCTAAAAGTGCAGTTTTCCCGGGCATTAGAAGAGAAATCTGTCCTGTGTCGCACAAACCAAGACCATGAGCCGCAACACCCATGAGCAGAGGCAAGGAGGGGTCCGTACGGCACGGTACGTGGCCACGTCCCGGGGTACGGATGCACATGAACCACCCCACCGGTGGACACCTCACCAAACAGCTCACCCCCTTGTCCCACCACACACAAACAGCCACTGGGTCGTGAACGGTCCCACCTCCCCATAGACTGTGAAGGCCACCTCTACCCACACGTACGACCACAAAATAATCCCGAGGCGCAGCAGGCACATGGGAAGGGACAGAGGGTCATGTTGGGGCAAAAGAGACAGCTTCTGGTGCTGTCCCTCCCACCCTGCACTGGTGCTGCTCTTGGGTGCCCACAGGGCTGACTGGCTGAACCCAACACCTTGCCACGCAGCAACCCATCCTGCCGTGCAGGGATGAGAGCTCGGAGAAGGTCCCCATCTCCTTGAAGCTGCAAGCTTTGCTTTAGGTGGGTCTTCAACTGGGAAGGAACGTGGTTCCTGTGACGGTGGTTTGATGAGGATGGTGGGGCAACCACCCCTCTAGATGCTACACTGTAGTATTAATACTATACACATTTACAAATATGAGCCACAACTGGGTAGCATCTCCTAAAAAGTGCAGCAGCTTAGCCTTCAACACGCACTGGAGCTCCACAGCCTGCCCAAACGCTTCTGCCTGGGAGAAACAGCTCAGGCTGACCTCGGAGCAGGGGGTTGGGAGGGGTCCCCCACCTCCGTTGGCTTCACCCATCGCATTCCCGACGTCGCCTGCGCTGGTCCTGCTACCAGGCGGTACCTCCTGCCCGCCAGATTCCTCCCAAAATCATAACCACCTGCTGCGAAAAGCTTCCAATGGGCAGGTCCAGAGGAAGAGGGGGAGGAGGAGGAGGAGGAGGAGGAGGAGGAGGGGGCCCTGGCTGCCCGATGAACACACACCAGCTGGGGAGGTTTAATCTACATCTCTTTAATGGGCTGGTTACCATAGGAACAAGGGAAATATGTGGCCTTTGCAGCAAGTCCCCTTTTCTCTCACCATCCAAACCCCCCAGAGCTGGGCTGGTGGGCCCCCGGGACGCGGATTGCCCTATGCGGGGCTGGGGGGTGTGGGGTGTGAAGGAGATGCCTCTCGTCCCACCGCCCCATCGAAACCCCCAAATCCCATTGCTTTGTAATGAAAGAACTACGGACGAGGTAAAGGAGAGCTCAGCCTCGGCTTTGACATCAGGCTTCAAAATCGCGGCGCGCTCTTCCACAAAAACAAACCGCTTCTGAGTTCCACCTCCAGTTCTTCAGACAGACAGACGGACGGACACTGCCCAGAGCGATGCGGTGGACAGCGGGGGGTGGACAGACTGACAGGGACGGACCAGGCAGACATCAGCAGGCTTTGGGAAGCGGGAGATAGGGAAAGGTCACTCTTGCTCCCCTGGTGTCCCCCGGTCTCCTTTCTTCTGGGCAGAAAGCCGTTCTCCCCACGCGCACACTTGAGGGGTTAACGTGGACGAAACCCACGGGAATTTCCAGGCAGCCCTGAATCATGTTGGGATGGCCACGAATAAACACTCATTTCTTGCACCCGAGGGAGCCGGGGCTGCCGTGCCGTGCCCCGAACACAAACCAGACGGTGGGAGCAGAGCACTACCTTAGCCCAGAAGCACGAGAGGAATTCCCCTCCGCTCTCGCCCTCCTCCCAGCCTCACCTCCCCACTTCTCCCTCTGGCTCTTCTTGATGGGATGTCGCGGTTTGGGCGGGTCCCGGCCCCCGCCGCGCTCATCCCAGGGGTACCGGAGCTGCTGTCACCCAGACCCACCTCCGCCTGCAGAGCTGCCTCCCTCCGCCCCCAGCATCCACCAGTCACCCCACTGGTTTTAACAAAGAAAGCAGAGGAGGGTTTGACGGAACTTCCAACCCACGGATGCTTCCGAAACACGCTCTGGTTCATGTCACTCCGACTGATAGCTGCTCAACACACGTGTTGAGAGAAGGGAGACACTCAGGCTGCCCTTCCTCTGTCTTCTAGAGATGCCCGGTCCCTCCAGAGTCCCCTTCTCAGAGACATCTTTGCTCTGAGTCTTCCCGACGGCTGTGGCCGGCGCATCCCCCGAGGTGGGATCTCTGCGCTGGGGGAGATCGGGAGAAGCCGCTTGCCAGGTATCAGAGAGACCACGGGTCTCCCAAACCCTCTGCCTTCAGCCCAGCGCCTCCGGCCGAGCCGAGGAGCTGCTCCCCGCTGCCATCCCCACTGCAGCGCGCACAGGGCTGGGCGTCCCCCGGATCTCCTATTCCGCTGCTTTCATACTCCCGCGTCGCAAATCCCACCGGGAAGCAGCAAATCCACTCCCCTACCACCACAGGGTGGGGGGGTCATCACCGCCCGAGGCACCGTAAGGATTCCAGGGGCACTTATAAAATACCGTCCTCCCCTTCATCTTAACCCACGGGGACCTTAGAGCCACCACCGCCCTACCCCGGACCCCGTCCTCGGGCAGCGGGTTGGCAGCGCGCCCCTCCTGGGACGTGCCCTCTGGATGGGGGGGCTGCCGGGAACGGGGCGGTAGGAGAAGGAAGGGCAGGAGACCCCCAGGCAGAGGTGGTTCCCGGGGTTAGGGATGACACCGGTCGCTGACAAAGCCAAAGCCACGCTGGTGGGGTCAGAGGACAAAGCGTCAGGAGGAAAAGGTCTGGGGTCAAATGGATTATTTTAGCCAAAATGCCCTCAACGGACAAAAGCAGATTAAGGCAGGACTGAGGAGGGCAGGAGGAGAGGAGAGGAGGTTTCTCCCAATCCGAGTGAGGGCGAGAGGTTAGAAGCTCCCCACAGCCACCCCCGGCATCCGCACCGAGAGGGGCAGGGAGCGCCCTCGCTCCCCCACGTTAAAGCGCACAGCGAAGGGAAAGGCGCTGCGAGGAGAACCGTGTCTCTGCTGAGAAGGGAACCGTATTGGGATCCGCGGCCGAGAGCAGGATTGTCTGAGGGATGCTCGCACGCCTCAGTTGCTTCCTCTCCGGAAGAAAAAAATCTCCCCCATTTCTCTCCTCCTTCATAGAATCATAGAATTGTCTAGGTTGGAAGAGACCCTTGGGATCGTCGGGTCCAACCATCTACCCTACTCTACAAAGTTCTCCCCTACACCATATCCCCCAACACCACATCTAAACGGCTCTTAAACACATCCGGGGATGGTGACTCAACCACCTCCCTGGGAGCCTATTCCAGTGCCCGACCACTCTTTCTGTCAAAAATTCTTTCCTAATGTTCAGGATGTTCCTAATGCTCCTTCCTTCCCCAATTTCTCAACCACTCCTAAGACATAATGTCTGGAGGCCCCTCAACTCGAGGACCGCTCACTAGTGCCATGCGGTCCCTGCTTGGTTTCTCTTCCAGGATACAAACACCAGGATGGAGGAACCTCCAGTTGAGCAGCACCACGCTGCCATCGCAGACTAACGCCCCCCACCAGCACATCCACGGCTGAGCACCATCTGTTGTCCCTTCAGGCCAGGTCCCTCAAGGCCAGGTTGGATGGGGCTTGGAGCAACCTGGTCTAGTGGGAGATGTCCCTGCCCATGGCAGGGGGGTGGGAACTAGATGATCTTTAAGATTCCTCCCAACCTAAACCATTCTATGATTCAGCTGCCTGAGATACACTGGAGGCATGAGAGAGTGAGACCTCAGTGGTCCATCACCACGGGATGAGCCAAGTTGGCCAACAGGGCCAACACACCGTGTCACCTAACTCAAAAGCCATCCAGCAGGACTGGACCACACCACACCATCTCCATCCCCTTGGTGAGACCCAGGATCTGCAGGCAGGCCAGGTTGGGTGCTGTTTACAAGGACATCTCTTCCAACCAAGGAGTGCGAGTCTGAAAGCGCGGGTTTAGCCCGGAGCTCCGGAGGAGAGCGCGTGGAGAACACCAGTTTGCTAGATGGGAAGAGACCGGCACCAGCCGTGTTCCCAGGGTCAGGGCAGAGAGGCTCTGGGCTGAGCGCGGAGATGTTTCTGTTGAGCGTTGCGCTACCCTTCGCCAGCTGCCGTACCTCAAACTGTAAACAAAGGGGGAGCGGGAGGAGGGAGCCTGCTGGCGTTTATCACAGCGCGCTGTCAGGGAGATGAATGACTCCTGCTCCCAGGAGTAAATTAGCCAACTGCCCGGTTCCAGGCCTCTTCGACACCGCTGCTGGAAACCAGCTAACCCTTTTGAAGGTTCAGCGTGTTCGAAACCACGAAACCAGTGCAAAAAGGCCGAGGACAAACATGCTATCAATAAAACTAATCCAGAGACTTCG